CGGCCGCGACCGCCGCGGCGAGCCCCTCGGCCCCCGGCCCAGCGGGCGCTTGACAGACGCAGGCTGGGCAAGTGGTGGAGGCCGCCACCGCTGCCGCCAGAGCCACCCGCCCGCCAGCCGCAGGCCCGCCCAGGCCGCCGGGGCACCCACCGCGGTGCTCACCGCCAGGGTGGTGCCGGCGCCTGGGGCCATGGCCCGACCCGCGCTCATGCACTTGAGCGATGAAGGCCGCGAAACTTAAGACGATTCCGAGACAAGCACTGCCGTTGGAAAGATTTAGGCGTTTCCACCTCTTCGCTTCCCGACACAAGAGGCCCCCAAGACCGCCCCAAGAGGGCCCAAGAGGCCCCCAAAGGGGCCCCAACACGGCCCAAGAGGGCTCCAAGACGGCCCAAGAGGGCACCAAGACGGCCCAAAAATGCCCCAAGAACGCCCCAAGGAAGGGGTCCCAGGGGGGGAACACGAAACAACATTTCGAGCCCTCGGCCCTAAGAAGCCCCTAGGAGTCCCCAAGAGGCCCCTAAGAGGCCCCAAGAGGCCCCCAACAGGCCCTCAGGAGGCCCCCGAGAGGCCCCCAAGCGGCCCCCCAAATGCCCCCCCGAGCACGCAAGCAAGTGCCAACGACCCGACGCGTTTCAGAACCCCCAAGAGGCCACCAATAGGCACCCCGGAAGAGTCCCCATAGGCAAAACGCTTCCCGACGGCCCGCGACGCGTTCAGGACTCCCCCAGCGGCCACCAAGAAACCTCACATGCCGAACGCAAAGCCTGGTAAAAACAGCCGCCGCCCCTGCAGCTCCGCATCGCCAAAGACCACTCGGTCAGTCGACAACGGCGCGCAATATGGGCTGGCGGAATGAGTGAAGCGATTCAATAACACAGGCACAGCGGTAGCTACCTTGAGCCACCAAGGCGACGGGCAAGAGACAAACAGAGGCAGGCAAAACAAAGGAAAATAAATCGTTCGACTGAAAGGAAGGGGACGAACGGGCGGACGAGGGAGGATGGAGGAGGAGGGGGAGGAGGATGAGGAGGAAAACGAGGAGGAGGAGAAGGAGGAAGAGGAGGAGGATCGAGGTGATTGCGTATCGTTGGCCCCACTTAGGGCCCTGATTGGGGTGGGAGGGAAGAGGGGGAGCAGGAGGACGACCAAGGCTGGTGGACGTTTTTGGTCCTCTCTGGGCCTCTGGAGGGGGCGGAAGGGAGTGGGGGAGGGGCATGGGCTACGAACAACCAACTGGCGTTGGCCATCGCCCCTTTGCAGAGCTTCGCTGAGGCGGGACCGGACTGGTGCAAATCCCACCGGGCGTGCAACTACAAATGTGGCGAACAGAAGAACGCGTTCACAAGCCAGAAGCAAGAAAACAAGGTTCCTTACAAGTATACGCTCTGGCATATCCCATGAATACGGCTGAGATCAACACGCTCTCCTCGTCGTCCTACTCCTCGTCGCCGTCGTCGTCCTCCTCCTCCTCCTGCTCCTCCTCCTCCTCCTGCTCCTGCTCCTCCTCTTCCTCCTCCTCCTCCTCCTCCTCTCCTCCTCCTCCTCTCCTCCTCCTCCTCCTCCTCCTCCTCCTCCTCCTCTCCTCCTCCTCCTCCCCTCCTCCTCTCCTCCTCTCCTCCTCCTCCTCCTCCTCCCTCCTCGTCCTCGTCCTCGTCCTCGTCCTCGTCCTCCTCCTCCCTCCTCCGTCCTCCCCTCGTCCTCCTCCTCTCCTCCTCCTCCTCCTCCCCCTCCCCTCGCCCTCCTCCTCCTCCTCCTCCTCCTCTCCTCCTCCTCCTCCTCCGTCTCCCTCCTCCTCCTCTCCTCCTCCTCCTCGTCGTCCTTCTCCTCCTCCTCGACCTCGTCCTCCTCCTCCTCCTCAGCCTCCTCCTCTCCTCCTCCTCCTCCTCCTCCCTCCTCCCTCCTCCTCCTCCTCCTCCTCCTCCTCCTCCACAATTACGCAATATGAATACTACTCCCCTCCTTCCCCTGATGACGGGTTGGGAATGTTCGCCCCCCCCCCCCCCCCTGCGTACTGTTTTTTTTTACACACAAGATTCCCCGGAGTTGGGTTTTCGCTTGCATTTTTTGTCAAAATGCTGCTCTCGCTGAGGCGCTGGCCTCATTTTCGGGCCCCGTTCGTTCCGAATCGTGTTCCCGCTGCAGCGCTGGCCTCATTTCCGCGCTTCCGCTCGTTCCGAATCGCGCTCCCGCTGCAGCGCTGGCCTCATTTCCGCGCTTCCGCTCGTTCCGAATCGTGCTCCCGCTGCAGCGCTGGCGTCTGCCACGGCATGCAATGCAATGCTCGGTTGCGTTCCGCTGCGCGATGCCATGCCTTCAGCTGAAGCTGTGATATGCAGTTCTTAAGTGCTGCGTCGTGCTATGCCATGCTACGCTTTGATATTCAACGCTATGCTCTGCAATGTTATGTTCGGGGCCGCTGTGCGATGCCATGCTTTGCGTTGCAAAGCTTTGTGATGCAAGTCTTCACTACGCCGCGCCACGCCATGCTGTGACATAC